TCTCTCTCTCTCTCTCTCTCTCTCTCTCTCTCTCTCTGTGGCTAGCCACGTTGCGGGTCTTTTTTCCTTTTTTTTTCTTAGGAGATAGCTATAGCGGGTCTTTGTCACGTTGTTTGTCAGAGGAGGATCGGGAGGAGGAGCAGGAGGAGTGGGAGAAGGGGTGGGAGAAGGAGGAGCGGGAGGAGCGGAGGAGTGGGAGGAGCAGGAGAAGGAGCGGGAGGAGGAGGAGGAGCGGGAGAAGGGGGAGGAGCGGGAGAAAGGGGAGGAGCGGGAGGAGGAGCTGGAGAATGAGCGGGAGGGTGAACAGAAGGGGCAGAGGAGGCACGGGAGAAGGAGCGGGAGGAGGAGCGGTAGGAGGAGCGGGATGGGAAACAGGGAGGAGCTTAGGAGCTGGAGAAGGAGTGGGAGGGGAAACGGGAAGGGGCGGAGGAGGCACAGAAGGAGCAGCGGGAGGAGGGGCGGGAGGAGGGATGGGAGGGGAAACAGGGAGGTGGTTAGCAAATGCACGGGAGGCGGGTAGGGAGATCTTTGTCCCGTTGTTTGGCGGAGGAGCGGGAGGAGCGGGAGAAGGAGCTGGAGAAGGGGTGGGAGAGGGAGCAGGAGGAGGAGCTGGAGGAGCGGTAGGGGAAACGGGAAGGGGCGGAGGAGGTGCGGGAGAAGGAGCAGGAGGTGGAGTGGGAGAGAAACAGGGAGGAGGCAGCAGGAGGGGGAGCGGGAGAAGAAAAGGGAGCAGGAGTGGGAGGAGGAGCGGGAGAAGGAGCGAGAGAATGAGCGGGAGCGGGAGAAGCGGGAGAAGGAGCGGGAGGGGAAATGGGGAGGAGGCAGCAGGAGGGGGAGCGGGAGAAGGAGAGGGAGGAGCGGGAGAAGGAGAGGGAGGAGGAGCGGGAGAAGGAGCGGGAGCTGGCGGAGGAAACGCAGGAGCGGGTGGAGGAGTGGGAGGAGGAGCGGGAGGGAAACAGGGAGGAGGCAGCAGGAGGGGGAGAGGAAGAAGGAGAGGGAGGAGGAGCGGGAGGAGGAGCGGGAGGGGAAACGGGAAGGGGCGGAGGAGGTGCGTGAGGAGGAGCGGGAGAAGGAGCGGGAGGAGGAGCGGGAGAAGGAGCGGGAGGAGGAGCGGGAGGGGAAACAGGAGCGGGTTAACGGACGCGGGGGAGGCGGG